ACCGCCGAGTTCCCCTCGGGCTGCAGCTCCTCCGGCAAGGGCGGCTCGCGACCAAACACCGCTGGAGGGGAGAGTAGCCCGATTTCCGTGTGAGTCGATTTCTGGCCTCGCACGTCTTGGCGCCAGCCTCTAGCCACTCTTCTTGCGTCGCGATCTGCTAGTCGTCAATCACCTTCTTGAGGATCCGCTCGCACCAGGGCCCGTGCACCTCCGCCCCCGCGTTCTGCTCGTGCGCCTCGCCTGGCGCTCTGCCCACCGCGCAAGAAACCACCGCAACCGGAAGTTATGGATGTTTCTTTAAAATGATTTTTTGTTGGTTGTTCTGTTGTCGCGGTTACTGTTGGCACGTGCTTCGATTTCACATGTATCGCGTTCTCGTGGGGTTGCTTCATTGCCACTTGCAGAGCGTCTCCCGCAGACCTTCCCTTCGACGTGCTGGCGCGAGACCGAGTGGCGTGTCTGCGCGGCGCGGCCTGTTTAACACGACGCGCGTGCGCGCAGTTCAGAGGAGTTTACATTCGTAGCCGCCTGATTGTTGCGGCACCGCGCCATATTTTTTTGCGCGGCGCGTAACGCTCTTTTCGGATGCCATTTGCGCGTGTTTTGCATGGGCGGATCGCCTTGGCGCAGCGATGCTTCGCGCGGCGTGGTTCGGCCGCTTTTGCGCGATGATGCGCCCGTGTGCGTGTGTGTTGTCAGAGCGGCTCTGCGTGACGGCGTGTCCAGTAGCGATTACCATGCCGTTAAGTTTGTTCCTCGTGGGCACGCGGGCCCCCCGCCCCTTTTCCCTTCTTCGCGGCACGCCAAATTGTTGGAGTGTCTATAAGTTTGTTTCGTTGGGCGCTTGCGCATGTGATTTTTGGGGAGCATTGTTCATTTGTTGTCCACCTTTCGCGCGACCTCTTCTGGTTGCTTTCCCCCTCGTCCACTCGCATTATGTTTTGATGGTGTTTTATTGCGCACGTCTCAAAGTGGAGGGCCCGGTCCGCTCGTGGAGGGCGCGACATTGTTGACAAATCATACGCGTCGCGCGGTTGTGGTAGAAACCACGGCGCGTGCGTCATGCCGATCTGTTCGCGGCAAGTCCCGCGCACCGCGACCGCGCAGCACTCGGCGTGGCGAGTCTTCGAGCACCGCCACGAAAGCCATAACGCGCGACATGTCGTCGCCCATAGCCTTGCAAGGGCCGCAACATGTGACGCGCTCTTCCGCGCCGCTTCGGGGCGCACTCCTTCGTCTACGTCGTCGCCCTCCCCCTTCCCACGTCCCCCATGTTGTCACCCTCCCTTCTTCCATGTCGTTCTCCTTGTCTCATTATTGCGTCTCCTGGGGTTCTCACGTGGCACACATGGACAACATGTGGTATGTCATGGGTTACTGTCGGGTTGTCATGGGGGCCTCCTGGGACACTCTTGAGTCGTATATGGGGCTACCTGGGACATTAGGGGCCCTCTTGGGCCGTCGTGAGTTGCCTGGGGGGTATCTTGGTGCCGTCTTGGGCCGCGTTCGCCTCCATGCTGGTTTTCTTGCTTTGCCTGGGTTGGGTCTTCAGTTACCCCCAACCCCACTAGGTCTGGTACCAGACCTCCCTTCCACCTTCAACAGGTCTGGTGGGGTGCCCCCCTTCCACGTCGACCAGACCTCCCAGCGGGCCCTCCTCCGGCGAGGTGGAGGGGGCCTCCACCAGACTTCCTCTGGTTCTCCTGGAGACCTCCCCCTGATCCCCCCGAGGGCTTCGGAAGGCCTTCCGGGCTTCCCTTGGTTTCCACAAGGTGTGGCGAGAGGCTTCCCACGGCCCCTGGGAGCACCAGGCGAGGCCTCCCCCAGGCTCCCGGCACGACCAGGGGAGGTCTCTGGGAGGCTTCCCCTGGTTCACCTGGAAGCCTCCGATGAGAGTTCCCGCAGGGGGGGGGTCTCCTGTGGGAGGCTTTCGGGAGGACTAGGGGAAGCTTCCAGGAAACCTCACCTGGTCCTCCACCAAGTTTCCCCCCAGCGCCCCGGGAAGACCAGGGGAGGTTTCCAGGGGGCCTCCCCTGGTCTCCCCGGAAGTTTCCCCTTGGAGGGAGCCCTGCCAGATTTCGAGGTCTGGGGGAGGCTCCCGGACCCTGGTCCTCGGGGAGGATTCCCAGCAGGCTTGCAAGGACCAGAAAAAGCTTCTGGGAGACCTCCCAGCCCCCTTCTGGAAGTTTGCGGGGGGCCCCCAAGAGGACCAGGGGAGGTCCCCCGGCGGTCTCCCCCCAGATTCCAGGAGGTCGTCAGGACACCGCTAGGAGGCTTACTCTTCGGGGCCCTGAGGCCAGTGGATCACCGGATGCAGTGCAGCTACGGTGGCGACGGCAGCAGAGTCGCGTTCAGCCTCGGCGAAACATTTGCCGCGCGTTTCCAAGCTGGGTGGCTGGTTGGGGGCCTCCGACGGCCACGCCGGGACGTTTGAACTTTGGGTCTTTCCGCTCCAAGAAAACATGGTGGACGTAACTTCTGGTTCCTTAATAAATGCCCCCCGGGGGGCCTCGATGGTCCCAAAATGCGAGACATCTGTCGATCCACCCAATTTAATAAGGAATTCCCGGGGTCCCAAGTAAGGTCGTTACTTGGGTGCCTGGCGGTCCCAGAATTCAGGGCCTTACTTGGGTCCTCGGCGGTCACAGGTCCCACAGGTTCCACAGGTCCCACGTGTCCCAGATGTCCCACAGGTCCCATAGGTCCCACGGGTCCCGCAGGTCTCGAAGGTCTCGCCGGTCCCGCAGGTCCCGCAGGTCCCGCAGGTCCCACAGGCCGCACAGGTGCCACAGGTGCCACAGGTCCCGGAGGTCCCGCAGGTCCCGCAGGTCCCACAGGTCCCACAGGTCCCTCAGGCCCAACAGATCCCACCGGTCCCAGGGTCTTGCAGGTGTCACAGGTCCCGCAGGTCCCACAGGTCCCACAGGTCCTACAGGTCTTACAGGTCCCACAGGACCCACAAGTCGCAAAGAAGGTGCCAAAGGTCCCACAGGTCTCGCAGGTCCTACAGGTCCCACACGTCCCACAGGTCCCAAGGGTCCCACAGGCCTCGCGGGCCCCACAGGTCCCACAGGCCCCACAGGTCCCACATGTTTCACATGTCCCATAGGTTCCACAGGTTCCGCAGGTCCCGCGTGTCGCGCAGGTCTCGCAGGTCCCGCAGGCCCCGCAGGCCCCGCAGGTCCCGCAGGTCCCACTGGGTCCCACAGGTCCCACAGGTCCTACAGGTCCCACAAGCCCCACAGGTCCCGCAGGCCCCACAGGATCCACAGGGTCCGTAGGTCCCACAGGTCTCGCAGGTCGCGCAGGACCCGCCAGTCCCGCATACTCCATAGGCCCCGCAGGCCCCGCAGGTCCCACAGGTCCCACATGCAGGTCCCGCACGTCCCACAGGTTCCGCAGGCCCCACGGGTCTTACAGGTTTTAAAGGTCTCGCAGGTCCCGCATGTCCCGCAATTCCCACAGGTCCCGTAGGTCCCAGAGGACCCATAGGTCCAACAGGTCCCACAGGACCCGCAGGTCCCGCAGGTCCGCAGGTGCCACAGGTCCCACAGGTATGAATGACCCCACAGGTTTCACAGGTTCTCGCAGGTCCACCGGTCGCACATGTCCCGCAGGTCCCGCAGCTCTCACAGGTCCCACAGGTCCCGGAGGTCCGACAGGTCCCGCCGCCAGCACAGGTCCCACGAGTCCCACAAGTCCCGCAGGTCGCGCAGGTTCCACAAATCCCGCAGGCCCAGCATATCCCACATGTCCCACAAGTCCCACATGCCCCACATGTCCCACAGGTCCTACAAGTCCCGCAAGCCCCGCAGGCCTCGTAGGTCTGGCAAGTCCCGCAGGCCCCGCAAGTCCCAGTCCCCCCAGGTCCCACATGCCCCGAAGGCCCCACAGGTCCCACAGGCCCGATAGGGCTTACAGGTCCTACAAGGGCCACGGGGTCCGCAGGTCCCGCAGGTTCCGCAGGACCCGCAGGTCCCACAGGTTTCGCAGGTCGCGCAGGTCCCGCATGTCCCACACGTCCCACAGGCGACGCATGCCCCACAGGCCCCTCAGGCCCTACAGGTCCCACAGGCCCCACAGGTCCACCCAGCCCCTCCGGTCCCACAGGTCCCACAGGTCCCACATGTCGCGCCGGTCCCGCAGGCCCCGCAAGTTCCGCAGGTCCCACGGGGCCTACAGGTGCCACAGGCGCCACAGGTCCCACTGGTATCGCAGGTCCTGCAGGTCCCACAGGTCCTACGAGTCCCTCAGGTCCGACAGGTCAGGCAGGTGTCGCAGGTGGCGCAAGCCCCGCAGGTCCCACAGGTCCCACAGGTCTCGCAGGGACGACAAGTTTTGCAATTTCGAAGGCCCCACAGGTCCCACCAGGCCCACGCGTCCCACAGGTCCCAAGGGTCCCACAGGTCTCGCAGGTCCCTCAGGTCCCACAGCTACCGCAGCCCGCACAGCTCCCACAAGTTCCACAGGGCTCACGCTCCCAACATTTCTCCCAATTCTGGCAGGTTCCACAGGTCCCGCAGGTCCCACAGGTCACCTTTGGTGTTATTAAGATGGTTCCTGGGGTGATGTTTGCAAGGCGAAGGCGCGTGTAATTGCATGCGCTGCGCGCAGTGCAGAGTGAACCGTGAGTGCAAGTGTGAAACGCTGCCATGTAAATTTGGGATTGCGCCCGTCCTGGAATATTTTTGTGAACTTGCGGTTGCGGTGGTTTCCATCGTGGTCAACACCGCGGTCCCGTCCTTCCTGGAACCGCCCATCATGGCCGGGCCGAGGTTCGTCGTGCCGGAGTCCATCTTCACCCGACATGGTGCATGGTTCGGGGGTGGGCAGACCTCCCACCCTGACACGTCGATTAGTGAATTGGCCGTTTTCGATTCGCGAGAGGGCGTCGCGGCCGCCATTTTTGCGGGTCCAGGTCCGTCGGTTTCGGTCCCAGGCCGTTTTCACTAAAGGGTGGTCTACCGAAGGGAGGTTTGTCCACCGCCGAATGGTGGTCATTACTGCGCCCACGTCTTGTGGTCTTGGTGGTACAGGGCGCGCAGCACATGCGACGCCTCCTGCTCAAGCAACGACGGCTCCACTTGCTGCAGCTCGGAGCCCACGTCAACGATGTTCAGGCTCTTCGCAGTCACAAGGCCGCCGATCCAGCCCGGCAGGTGCTTCACGTCGATGGAAAGCGTGGGCACTGGGGGCGGGTCCTTCGAAAGCGCCGCTGGTTGCAGGACCTTAGGTTTCACATGCTGATTGCACACGTCGCACACCAGTTGCTTCGCCAACTCCATCGCCTTCTCACAGGCACCTCCATCACGTAGTACACGGACGAGGGTGTCAGTTCCTGGGTGTTCCAGGTTCTTGTGCAGCCTCACCAAAGCCACTTTGATATGATTCTCCGTGGGTTTGGTCATATCCTTCTGTTCCGTCGCGGCTGTCAGAACTTCCACGGCCCTTTTCTTGTCTAGCGCTGCCAGCGCTCCCTGCACGATGCGGACCAGCAGCGGGTTGGCATACGTCTCCGTGTGCTCGCTCCTCTTCAGTCCGCTTTTCATGACGCCGATCGCATGCACGTGTTCGTGGCAGCCTTGACAGAGCACCTCCACCGTCTCCGCTATCACCCGGTCGTTCGTCAGGAATTGCCATTGTTTGGCGAACAGATTGCCCGTGTCCGGCTCGGTCAGGCCGAGCGCACATCCTGCCGTCTTCACCACGTACACCTGATCCTTGACTTCGCTCAGAAAGGCCGCCATCTCCGCAAGCGCCCATGTTCCACCTCCCAGCGGCGCCTCGAGCAGAAAGATTCCGCCTAGCGCCATCTGCTTCGGGCCATCATGATACACCAGCGTACGTAGCCAACTGCCCTTCTTGTTGTCCCAGATCCACCGACCCATGTCCTTCGGAACGGGGTGGAGACTCTGCAACTTGGATAACATCCGGCATGGCGGTGACATGGTCAATAGCCACGGCCTCTCGGTCTCGACGATCTCCTCCGCCTGTCGCCTGACATGGGGCCTGTCCAGATCCCATCCCGTCTTCAGGTTGGGCGCCCCGAGGCTGGTGACACCAGCAGCTGCCGCCGCCTGTGCCACTCGAAGCGGCGAGAACAACTCCAGCACGTCGACGTCGCTCCGTTTCTCGATCCGAGCTCCTGCCGCCGCGGACTCCAGTGACCTCCTATGCTTCTTCGTCAGCACCACCAGCTTCACCTCTGGCATGTCCTCGTTCGCCTCCTTCACCAGGTTGATATGCCGTCCTTTCTTCTTGTAGACCTCCACGTCCTCCGTCTTCCAGTCCAGGTCCCTCTCCACGTCTGCGCGCGCCGGGGGCGTGCGCATCTCCAGGATGTGGTGGCCGTCGTCGACATCGTCTGCACTGGTCGTGAGCACCGTCTGCCCGATGGTAGCGAAGGTCATCTGGTCTCTCTCGAAGTCCAGGTGCCCTCCAAGAGCCTTGGCCCGCCTCCGGGCGTGTTCTGGTGGCGCGTCTTGGGGGCCTCTTGGGGGTCTGCTGAGGGAGTGTAGGGGCCTCTGGAAACTCATGAGTGCATGTTTTGGCGGTGAACTCGGGTTGTCGGTTCTGGCTCCCGCTCATGTGCCCTTCTCGTGGCAATCTTCGGGCTCTCGTGGGCTGTCTTGGGCGCCTCTGGGGCCGTCTGGGGGCCCTGATGGGCCGTCTGAGGCGCGGGGGCCTCGATCGCGGGGCGGTTCTGGGCGCCGGAGGCGCCGTGTTCTGATGTGCAAGCACGTGCGCGCATGCCTGGACGAGCACGTCCACAATCCACTGCGGTACCCGCGCCCTGCGACTGGACCTCAGCGCCGCACTATTGCCGAAGCGGAACACGGTCGCCGTCCTGTCCGAAACGTAGTCGTAGTCCATGTTCTTCCGGAGGAGCCGTGCCTGGGCCCACTGCCTTCATCTCTTGCACTCTCTGGGGTCCAGTGTCTCCGCCGTGAATGTCCGGTCTCGAGGACCACTGCCTGCTGACTCCGACGCCATTGTCGAGCCTCACCTGAGCTCTCCGGTCTCAAAACTTCACCTCTTGCATGCTCTTGCTCCGCGCTACCAATGCTGATCGGCGGGCGTCGGCAGCAGCCACGAGATATCGCGCGCACCTCTCTCCTGCTGGCCCTGAGCAGGCTCCGAACTCCCCCGGGCGGCCAGGCGAGCCAGAATGCCTGTGGAGGCAGCGCGTTTAACATTGCCTCCATGCTGTTTGATAGGGGAAACAGCTCCTGAACGGGCTGCCTCGACGCTTCACCTCTGCCGACTGCTCACACTCGGCCCCACTTGCGCCTGTCGCCCTTGCCGCCCTCGAACTTCACCGTGTTCATATCCTCATTGACAGGATCGACTGCCTCGAACTCTCCATCGACCATCGCGTTGGCCGTCACTGCCTCAGGGCCCAGGGAGCAGGCTACGCCCTGGACCTCTCTGGCTTCCCAGACCGAGCCGGCGGGTCGAGCCCCCGCGCGCTTCGCCCCGCGCTGCTCTCCGCCTCTCCCAGGCGGCCCTGCCGGGCTGTCGCAGCGCACCGCCGCGCCCCCCTCCGCGAGGGGCGCCTCGTGGCCGGGGGGGGGGGGCCGGTGGCCAGGGACAGCTAGAGGCGCACCGCCGAGGCGTTTCCCGGCCAGTGCGGAGGCGCCTCCTTCCTGCCCGACCTGTCGGGCGCGTCGTCGCGCGCCAGGGGTCGCCCCGCCCACTCCGGTCTCGAGGGCTTCCGAGTCCGATCCGATTCGATTTCGGATCCCGATCTGGGGCCCGATTTCTCCTACTTGGCAGGCCAACATGGGCCCTTTCGGCAGAACTCGAGTGGGCCTACATGCGGCCCAATCGGCAGAACTGGGCGGCCTAGTGACTGGCCTGCCAGTTTCTGCCGCTTCGACTTCTTCAGACTTGGATGCCGATTTCTGCCGATCCGACTCACTTCGACTGCCAGTTCGACTTCTCGACTCGACTCGTGGGCTCTCCGATCGACGTCTCGACTCGGTCCGACTTCTCGACTGGACTGGATGCCGATCCGACTCGCTTCGATCGCCGACCTCGGCCGCCAGGTCGACTTCTCGACTCGACTCGTGGGCTATCCGGTCGACTTTTCGACTGCCGATCCGACTTCTCGACTCGATTCGATGCCGATCCGACTCTTTTCGATCGCCGATCTCGACCGCCAGGTCGACTTCTCGAGTCGACTCGTGGGCTCTCCGGTCGACTTCCCGACTGCCGATCCGACTTCTCGACTGGACTCGATGCCGATCCGACTCTTTTCGGTCGCCGACCTCGACCGCCAGGTCGACTTCTCGACTCGACTCGTGGGCTCTCCGATCGACGTCTCGACTGTCAGCCCGACTTCTCGACTGGACTCGATGCCGATCCGACTCGCTTCGATCGCCGATCTCGACCGCCAGGTCGACTTCTCGATTCGGGGAAATGGTCTGGACGTCCGGGGATGCCGTATTGAAAAATCACGATCGCATGTTTGGGTCACCAGATTCCACCGAGGCGCTTGCCGAGGCAAAAGCGACAGCAGAGGAGGGTACGTTAGAGGGCACTGGGGTAGTATATGGATTGGGAGCCCACAGTCTTGCAACCCAAACCAAGTAAGAAAGCGTTCGTGCAAGCATTGCTTCAGAGACGCGCTCATTTTTGCTTGTGTCTGTTTCAAGCTACCATCTTCGGCTGGCCGCGCGTGGAGTTCAGCTGATCTGGCAGATAGGGAGAGCAGGAAGAGTGAGGGAGGATGGTATTTCGAGAGTTGAACCCTCCGTCCCGATGGTTTTTATCCGCTGTCGGCGCCCGTTGAGGTGCCGCATTCGGGGTCACACGTTCGACTTCCCGCCGTGGATAAAGCACGACAAGCATCAGAAGGATCCCGCTGCTTCCTGTCTCGCTACCTAAGAACGGGGCGGGGTCAGCAGGAGGGACGGAAGGAGAGGGGGAACTTTCTGGCATCGGTGAGATGAGAGGGGAGAAACTATGGCATCGGTGTGATGTGCATGTTTTCTGTTGTGCGCTTTCCGACGCCGGCTGATTACTTTCGATATTGGATCACCACGTTCGGTTGAGCGGTTCGTTGGCGAGTTCATTCGGAGGCGTGCGTGGGCAACCCGAGAAGGAGCGCGGCATCCGGCCTCACGGGTAGGAGGATACTGGGCAGGAGGAGCGGCAGGAGCAGTAGAAGCAGTAGAAGCAGAAGCAGTAGAAGAAGAAGCAGAAGAAGAAGAAGTAGAAGCAGAAACAGTAGAAACATAAGCAGAAGTATGAGACAGGGGAAGAAGCAGCAGCAGCAGGGGCAGCAGCAGGAGCAGGAGGAGCATTCGGCGGCCTCCGGCTCAGCCCGCCGCCGTGCCCCGGGTCGTGGACCAGAGGCCCCTCGAGGCCTCCGCGGTGCATGCCCTCGTGGAGTGCCACCCCTGCGGCCACAGGGGGCGTCCTGGGCCGACCAGCCCCAGGGACCAGGCAGGCTTGTGCCCAGCCAGCCTGCCCCTCCTCCTCATCCTCCTCCTGCTGCTCCTCCTCCTGCTGCTCCTCCTCCTCCCCCCTCCTCCTCCTTCTCCTGCTCCCCTGCTCCTCCTCCTCCTGCTCCTCTCTCCTCCTCCCTCCTCCCTCCTCCTCCTCCTCCTCCTCCTCCTCTCCTCCTCCTCCTCCTCCTCTCCTCCTCCTCTCCTCTCCCCCTCCTCTCCTCCTCCTCCTCCTCCTCCCCCCTCTACCCCCCCCCCCCAGACCTCCGATGTTGTAGCCCCCTCGCCTCCCTGTCGCGCCACCCAACGTGTCCGCAGGCAAGGTCGGGCGTTTCGTCTGAGGCCTCGCGCTGCACTGCCAGCCCAGATGTTCTACCAATTTCAGCAGTGGATGGAGGGCCGTGGTGTTCAAGGTGTGGCTTTCGCGTTGTCGCCGCACACGCTCTCAATACATTCATGCAGTTGCACGGATGCAGGGCCGGTGGTTATGAACATGTGTATCTCGCCGCACACAGTCGTCTCAAAGACATGGAATTGTTATTCGGATTGAGGGCCGGCTGTTTACAAAGTGTCGTTCTCGCTCAGGCGCCGCGCACATTCGTCTTGGACGGATGGATGCCAGCACGGTGTCCAAACGGGTATCTCGCCTGAGACTCTCTTAACACACATTGCCACAAGTGTGACACTGTGCAGCAGTGGCACGTATGGAGGGTTGCTCATCTTGCAAAGGGGGCTGTCGCCTCAGACTGCGTAGCATTTGGTGTTGCCCAGGCCTTTGTTCAGAGCGTGAATTGCCTATTTCATGTCGGCTTGTGCGGTTCGCCTGGCGACGTGTTGTATCGAGATGTGGTAGTGTAATCAGCGATGCGTTGCGAGGAACAAAGAAGAGGTCGCAGCATTTGAGGACCAGAAGTTACAGATGGTGCAACATTTAGCCACGCGCAGGGGGATAGGGGGAGGGGGAAGGTGTCTTAGAGGCTCCCTGGCTGCTTAGAAGGCGCGGGCCTTCTCTATAGATGTAGGGCCGGCGCCTTCTGAGAAACAGCCTCCTTATAAGAAGCGCCCCCCATCCCCCTGCCCCCATGTGCCCGCGCCGCCGAAGATGATGCAGCATCCAGACGGATACGGGGCGGCTTCTTTTCTCAGGCGATTGCAAACATGGATCAAGGGGGCGTGGATTAGCGACGGGTCCCGTTTCCATGGGAAATCGCGGATTCCCACTGCCGAATGAGGCGGCACCGGCCGCATTCAAATCCACGGATCGCTAATCTATGGTTTCCGCGCCGCCGATCTTGGGGGCCTTCTTGGCCCCGTCCTGGGATGTCTGCGCCGCGGGCCTGCCTTGGCATCTCTTGGACCACGTCGGGCAGCACTGGAGCTCCTCGGGACCCATCGGGAGGCGCGAGGGGCGAGACGCAACGAACAGGTTGAGGCCACCTACGTGCTTGCGCGCCCCCGATGCTCAGAGTGGTGCCGCCGCCGTGCATGGAGGAGGAGGAGGAGAGGGAGGAGGATGATGATGATGAGGAGGAGGAGGAGGAGGAGGAGGAGGGGGAGGGGGAGGAGGAGGAGGAGGAGGAGGAGGAGGAGGAGGAGGAGGAGGGGAGGAGGAGGAGGAGGAGGAGGAGGAGGAAGAGGAGGAGGAGGGAGGAGGAGGAGGAGGAGGAGGAGGAGGGGGAGGAGGAGGAGGAGGAGGAGGAGGAGGAGGAGGAGGAGGAGGAGGAGGAGGAGGAGGAGGAGGAGGAGGAGGAGGAGGAGGAGGAGGAGGGGAGGAGGAGGAGGAGGAGGGAAAGGAGGGGGAGGAGGAGGAGGAGGAGGAGGAGGAGGGAGGAGGAGGAGGAGGAGGAGGAGGAGGGGAGGGGGGGGGGGGAGGAAGACCTCTGCGGGCCCGCGGGGCGCCCGTGTCTCTCACGCGGGGGCGCCCCCGCGCCGCGAAGGCGGCGCCCTCCCAACGTGCTGATGTGATATGCATGTGTGCGCCGCCCCTCCCCTCAGGGGGTGGCGCGCGCACCGGGGAGTCTTCTAGCATAGGCGTCGTGGCGAGCGCTCTCTGTCCAACACCGCTGGGGAAGAGGGGCACAACGAGAGGGGGTATACTGTGATGTCGGGTCGGGCGCGCGCCTCTCAGGAGGACAGATGGTATTAGTCTGTCTCTGCGCGGCCCACGAGGCAGGATGCCTCCAGAGACTTCTGAGGAGGGGGCTTGGTGATCATTTGCTTCTTCCTTGTTTTACCGATCGGCGCGGACCCTCGCACCCCCCTCCCCCCCCCATGGAAGAATAGATCTTGGCTGTTTTGGGCGCCGGGTTCGGGCAGGTGGAGTCTCCCCCCATAGGACGCACTGGAGCAAAAGCAGTCGCACTCAGCAGAGGTCTGGAGCCAGACCCCCCCCCGTCCTCCGCTCCATGTCGAAACGCCGAATAACAAGACGTTCACTTGGGGCTGGCGGATGTCTTGCAGCACCGTCGGTGCCGTTTGTTGGGTGTCCTCCGGTTTTCTGGCGCCATTCCCTGCTGACTGCGCAGGGGAGTGCGACGCGCCCGACGAAGGCTGCGTGTGTGTGTGTGTGTGAATATGTGACTGCGCATTGATTGGTACGTTGCGGGTACGTTCTCCCCGTCTCCCCATCTCTCCATTCCTCCTTCCAGGAGGGAAAAAACACAGACTCAATCAACCGTCGATTCCCAGGAAGATATGGGAAAATGTGGGAAGTGGGGGGGAAGACAAAAAAACCCAAAATATATGAAAATATGGGGATCCTGTTATTTGTTTTTATTTATTTGTGTGTCCCAGGGTCCCTTCATCCTTTGCTGCCGTGTTCCTCGTCTCCCCCTTCTCCCTGTCTCCCCCTACCCCTCGCAGTTGCCCCCCACCCCCCCCTGGGAGTCACCCCGTCGACCCCCTATGGGC